ATTTTTTAAAGAAATTTTTTGTAAAAAATTTTCTTGAAGGACTTCAGGACCAATAAGCGTGGATTTTTAAAGGATTTTCTTGAAGGACATCAACACCAATAGGGGTGGATTTTTTAAAGAATTTTCTTGAAGGATTTCAGGACAAATAAGCGTGTTTTTTAAAGAAATTTCTTGAAGGACATCAACACCAATTAGCGTGGATTTTTTAAAGAATTTTCTTGAAGGACATCAACACCAATTAGCGTGGATTTTTTAAAGAATTTTCTTGAAGGACTTCAAGACCAATAAGCGTTGATTTTTTTTAAGAATTTTCTTGAAGGACTTTCTGACCAATAAGCATGGATTTTTTAAAGAATTTTCATGAAGGACTTCAGGACCAATTAGCATGGATTTTTTAAAGATTTTTTGGAAGAGCTTCAGGACCAATAAGCATGGATTTTTTAAAGATTTTCATGAAGGACTTCAGGACCAATAAGCCTGGATTTTTAAAGAAATTTCTTGAAGGACTTCAGGACCAATAAGCGTGGATTTTTTAAAGAATTTTCTTGAAGGACTTCAGGACCAAAAAGCGTGGATTTTTAAAGAAATTTCTTGAAGGACTTCAGGACCAATAAGCGTGAATTTTTAAAGAATTTTTTGGAGGACTTTAGAACCAAAAAGCGTGGATTTTTAAAGAAATTTCTTGAAGGACTTCAGGACCAATAAGCGTGAATTTTTAAAGTATATTTTCGGAGGGACTCTCCGACCAATAAGCGTGGATTTTTAAAGAAATTTCTTGAAGGACTTCAGGACCGATAAGCGTGGATTTTTTAAAGCATTTTCTTGGAGGACATCAACACCAATAGGCGTGGATTTTTTGAAACATTTTCTTGAAAGACTTCAGGACCAATAAGCGTGGTTTTATTAAGGAATTTTCTTAAAGGTGGATTTTTTAAAGAATTTTCTTGAAGGACTTCAGGTCCAATAAGCGTGGATTTTTTTAAAGAATTTTATTAAAGGACTTCAGGACCAATAAGCGTGATTTTTTAAAGAACTTTCTTAAAGGACTTCAGGACCAATAAGCGTGGAATTTTTAATTAATTTTTTGAAGGACTTCAAGACCAATAAGCGTGGATTTTTTAAAGAAATTTCTTAAAGGACTTCAGGACCAATAAGCGTGAAATTTTTAAATAATTTTCTTAAAGGACTTCAAGACCAATAAGCGTGGATTTTTTAAAGATTTTTTTGGAAGAGCTTCAGAACCAATAAGAGTGAATTTTTCAAGAATTTTCTTGAAGGACTTCACGACCAATAAGCGTGAATTATTTTAAGTTTGTTTTATTTATTTTTTTTATCATAATTTTTATATGTTTATATTTATATTTTTGATTTGACTTTTGACTAAAAAATGTGAGATTGTTCTTTTTCAAAAATATAAAAAAATAGTAACAATCATGCCCAGAACAATAACCTTATTTCCTAGAACTGCATCGACACGAAGCAGCAACCATCATTTGTTGTAATTTTTTTTTTTTTTTTTTTTTTTTAATCCGAAAACAAAATTTTCGGTCAATGACTTGTTTCGTAACGTTGTTTTTTCCGTGTTTTAGAATTGTTTTCTTCAATTCCCAGCAGACGAAAACGACTGGCCATAAAATTGTTGCTACCACTTCTAATGGGAAGTGCATGAAGTGAGAGTGAATTGTTATGGGGGAACAGTAGTAGTTGTTTTTGTTCTTGTTGCCTTCGTGTGTGAAATGGGCTTTAATTGTTACAACAAACCCCGTGGAAAGAGGAAGAAAAACATAAAGCGCAGCTATGTTAGCGAGTGGTACGCTTTCGTTGACAGAGGTAATAGTTACATGCGTTGGTATTGGTGGTGTTTATGGCGTAGAATTTTGTATTAGGCCACCAACTGCAGTTAAATCAACTGCTGCTACCACTTCAATAATGACGTGGGCTGAGGTAGTAACTGCATTTGACGATTGGTAGTAGTGGTAATGGATTTGTTCCCTCATCACCATTATGTTGTACCTACTGCTGCTGCTGCTGTTTTCTTTTTTGTATTAACATAGTCACGCCGTTGTGACTTACTGACGAGCAGTCAACGTTGTTTTTTTTTTTAACAAAACCCGTTTTATTTTTCGAAAAAAGTACCGATACGAAATCGATTTTCTAAGGTTTGTTTCGATGCATTTGACCCTAGAGCACATAAATGACTGAAAGGTTGCTCTTTTCAAAATATTTACACTCAGAAAAATATGTTGGTTGGTTACAAAATTAAAAAAAAAAAAAATTTGCATGTAATTAAGAAAACCTGACTAACTTCCTTATTAACGACAATACGTACTGATGAGACACTTAAAACCACCCTCAATAAAATTCAGTCGATGCACTAAGTTCAAAAGACGATGTGTATGGCTTCATCAATATTGGCAGGTTTGCGGGATTAGCGTGATGGGAGTCGTTGATTTTTCGAAGTCATTAAAGGACAAGATGGAAGAGTGATTTTTAGATCTTGAAGCTACGTTTTTTATATTATGATTTTGAATTTTTTTTTTAGAATTTTTGTTAGAGTTGTCTTTCAGAACTTTCGGATAAATAAGTATCGGGTTTCCTTGACACACTTTTGGAATAATAAGGGTGAAATTTTAAACCTTGGATTTTTTAAAGATTTTTCTTAAAATATTTTTATGGGGAGAAGTTTGAATTTGTTAATATGTTCAGAAAGGACTTTCAGACCACACGTTATGTGTGATTTGTTTACGATTTTTTGAAGGACTTTCGAACCAATAAGCGTGGATATGTAGAATATTTTCCTTGACGGACTTTTGAACCGATAAGTGAGGATTTTTTACAGAAATTTCTTGAAGGACTTTCGGCTCAATAAACATAATTTTTTCTTAGCGGATTTTAGGATCAAGAAAGATTTTTCTTTATTTTGGGAGCAATAAGCGTGGATTTTTCACGGCGGACTTTCAGACCATTATGCACATTTTCTCTAAAGATGTTCATTAGAGAACTGTCTGAACAATAAGAGTGCACTTTTTTCAAAATTTCTTGAAAGACTTCTGGATTAATAAGTATGGATTTTGTAAATAATTTGCGTTAAGGACTTTCGCAATAAAAATAGGTGATTCCTAAGAAATTTTCTTGAAGTAATTTCCTAGCCAAAGAAGGCAATGTTTAATGATTTTTCCTGAAGTACTATGAAAAGATTTTTCATGGACAACATTAGAATAAGTAAACTTGAAGTTTTTAATGTGGACTTTTAAAGACTTTTCTTAAAGGACATTCGGACCAAGAAGTGTTTTCTTTATAGGGTTTTAAGAACTTTTGAACCAATACTCGGTTTATGGATTTTCGCACTAATAAGCGTGCATTTTTAAATATTTTTCGAGGAGCTCCTTCCGGCCAATAAAAATGGATTTTTTCAAAGATTTCTCTTGAAGGACTTTGGAACCACTAATCGTGGAAAAATTTCTCTTTACGGGCTTTCAAACCAATAATCGTGTTTTTTTTTTAAATTTATCTTAAAGGTATTTCTGACCTCGAAGTATAATGGACCAATTAGAAATCCTGGAAGGATAATCTGGCGATAAAGTTTGTATTGTTATTATAGCTTTGTGTAGCCCCAAAAGTTTGTAACGCCACGGAATATTGGTCCTAGACCCACCTTTAAGTATACCGATCGTCATATCTCGACTAGCTGAGTCGATCTATTGTGTTTCTTTTATTCTTAAATAATTTTCTTCTAGAGCCTCATATCTATAAGTGTATATGTTTTAAAGAATTTTTATCCTTATAAGCATATAATTTTCCAAGAATTTTCTTTTAAGAACCTCACATTTATAAGTGTAGGTTTTTATCTAAAAAAATCCAAGCATATTTTTTTGGATGTGGATTTAGAAAATAATTTTCTCCAAGAAGCCTCCTACCTATAGGCGTGGATTTTTACAAAAATGTATTTTCTTTTAAAGTAATGTTCTTCGTGGTCCCCTATAAGCATGGATTTTTTTCAAAGCATTTTCTTCAAAGACTCTCGTCCCAATAAGCATGGGTTTTTAAAGAGCCCCATTACACAACTCCTGTTCCTATACAACGTGAATTTTTTAGTAATATTTTTAAGGACTCCCACAATAAAAAGTATGGCTTTTTAAGGATTTTTATTAAGGTCTTCATATTCAGATCACCATAACAATAACATTTTGAGCGTAAATTTAAAAAATATTTATTTATTTTTATATTAATTATATTTGCTGGAGAACAATATCACCATCATAGTGTATGTGTGAAAGATTGAAGGACCATCCGACCTATGCATTTTTTCAATAAAGTATTTTAAGAAACCAAAATTTTGTAAATATAAAAAAAAATCTTTTGACAAATTCTCGTCACTCGTAAAATATACGACCCTATATGTGTGTGGTCTATATATTTGTAGTTGATATTGTTTCCCCGGTCATTGTGTGAAACATAAGATGCACCATATATTGTGGTGTACACCTGTTACCTTTCAACCGAAGCCGGCGGCACAAGCCACAAATGAAAAAAAAAAACCGAAAAACAAAACAAATGTTGGTCAAATTATAGGCCACATACAAAAAACCAAACCGGTAGTTACTATCATTGTTATGGTAACATAGATTTTTTTTTGGAATTTAAAACTACTACTTGCTGGCTTCCCAAATGTGGTATCCTATATACATATGCACACTTGTGTGTTTGTGTGATGGTTGAGGTTGTATGAAATGTATGAAACTATGTAGAAAGAACCTACGGCCGATCTTCTATTTATCGAGTAAATTTTGAAATTTCTTGGGAATTCGATCTCTAAAAGACGTATAGCTTATATCATATAGAGGATCTATATTATTGCTATATTATTCTCAATTGAAAAGAAGTATAATTTCAAATTTCTACAAAGCAACTATTTTATTTATGTTTCAAATAAGCATGAAACTTAAAAAAACAATTCACAAATTTTCTAATTACAAAAAAAAAAAACAAAACCGATCATCTTAGTTGATGCCAGTGTGTTCCTTGATCCATTCCAAATAGCTGGTGACACGAGTGAAAGCAGCTGGGTGACTCTTTTCACAGCCATTGGCGGAACCGAATGAAGTCAAACCAATTTGAACCTTGCTGGATTTCAAGACCAATGGACCGCCAGAGTCACCGTTGCAGGTGGAAATGCCACCAGAGGTGGAAACGCAAATGTTCGATTCTGTGATGGTGTTACCGAAGGTCTTCTTGCATTCAGTGTTGCTGATAACTTTCATATCGGCATATCTCAAATGGTTGGTAACACTGGAGGAAGAGTCCGAGATACGGCCCCAACCGGAAGCAACAACAGTATCACCCTCATATTTGGAGTAAGAGTTGGCAATTTTGGGCAATTCAACGGCCTTAATTCTGCTGGTGTACGAGACTGAGGGGATCTTGATCAAGGAGATGTCATTCTTCAAGCTACGGCTATTCCAATGGGGATGGATGATAATGTCCGACTTGGTAACGGTGTGGGTGACTTCGGCAGAGGTACGTTCGGTGGCACCCAAGTAGACAGTAACGGAGGAGATACTAACAGGAATAGAGGCAACAATAAATAGCAAATTATGGGAGAAACTTCTACCTTACTTACCCATCAGTACAGTGAGCAGCAGTCAAAACCCAATGGTGACCAATCAAAGAACCACCACACCAGGATGAGGCAGTGGAACTTACTTTCAAGGATAGACCAACTTGATAGGGGAATTGACCAACAGAGGCTTCATGACCATTGGTAATACGACCCTCGGTATCAACGAAGATATCACGGGGTTCAATGGAGGCACCAGGGAAAGCCGAGGCTGTGGCCAAGGCCAAAGCGAAAACAATTAAGAATTTCATTGCGGAGAAACAACTAATTTGGCGAGTGGTGAGGTGCTTTAATTTATAGGATTTTTCGCATTGATTTGCGACCCGGAATTTTGAGTGACACAATAATATTCGATAAGATACGTAACGTAACGTGTTGTATTCCCCTAATCTATACCGAAGATGCTATTATCCTTATCATTTTTTTATGTTTCTTTTTGTAGTCTCTTCTCTTGTTTTGAAAGTAGCATGTCATGGATGACCGGCAGTTCAAAATTTCAAATTTTGGGGAATTTCTGAAGTACGACACGATTATCGTAATCATTTCAACCCACACAATATTGACGTATGTTCGTGCGTACGACACTTAAAGAGGTCGCAATTATTCCGTTTTATATTGAACAATGTTTTCGATATTTGTTTTCAATGGACTCTCACACCTATACGTGTGGATTAAAAAAATGTCAAAGCCACACCTCCCTAAAAATGTGGACTTTTGAAAGAATTTTTAGGAAGAAGTCTCACCTTTTTAAACAATTTCCTTCAAGTAGCATCACGTGGACCCAATCTTGAATTTTTAAGCATTTTTTAAAGGACCCTTAGCCCTATACACATTTTTTTACATATTTTTTTTTCAAGGACACTCACTACAATAGGAGTGATTATTAAAAGAACGAGATGTGTGATTTTTTAAAGAAGCCGCACTCCCACAATTATTTAGGGAAATTGTTCCAAGGAGCCTTAACTTTAAGAGTTGTTTCTTTTTATTGAATTTTCTGCAAGCAGCCTTGTAAACGAGAATCTTTTCAAAGAATTGTATTTAAGGACCCTCATTCCTATAAACGTGGACTATAATCATGGATTTTTCAACGAATATCTAGATACTCATCCCTATAAACGTTGATTTTTATAGAATTTCCTTCAATGACCCTTACCCTTATAAAAAAGGATTTTTCAACGAATTTTCTTCAAGGACCCTAATTCCTATAAACTTGGACCCTCACCCCTATAATAGTGAATTTGTCAATGAATATTCCTCAAGGATCCTCATCACCATAGACCTAGTTTTTTCAATGAATTTTCTTCGAGGACCTTCATCCCTATAATACTGTCTTTGTCATTTAGACAAATGGCTATAAGCGTGGTTTAAAAAAAATCGTAAAGGATCCTCATTTAAGTATGGATTTTTTTAAAGGACCCTCATCTTTATAAGATATTCTTTAAAGATTTTTTTTCAAAGTCTAACTGAAATATTGTCTGGGATTTTTAAGTAATCGTGGATTTTTTAAGAATTTTTTTGGAGGAATAGTGGAAGTGATGCAAATGTGGTATAGGTTGGTAATGTGGTATAGTCACTTTTTTTGTAAACTGAAAATTTTAGAATAACTGAAACATTTTCTATAGTTTGCTGTTCTCAAAAAAATAAGATAGCAATGACCTGTTTAATTTATTTAAATCACGTTGAGAATCAGTACCAAAAATAAAATTTTTCATGAAATTGACTTTTTTTCGGTTGAAGTTTAAAAATAATTTTTTGTTTTACGGATGTACTTTAATCCTTATTACTAAAGCATTAAAATAATCAGTATGAACTAAAAATCAAATAATATGCGCGATTGCACCACATAATCACCAATTTGGAAAAAAAACTAGACATTTCTTCAGTAAACACAAGTGTAGGTAATGTGGTATACCTTGATTCTGCATGAAAAAAGGCCAGCACTATACAAAATCTCATTACTATGTGAAACATTTGTACTCTACGAGAGTCTACCATGAATCACAGGGATGAAAAACAAAGGCTATGAGCTTTAACAACTTCTCCATACAAAAATTAAATATTGCCATGTGTAGACATTATTATATAATAAAAATTAAAGTTGCACTCAACGTATCCGTTAAAAATCTTAACAGACATAAATCTCGAGCTAATTCGCATTCATTAAAAACGATAAATTATATAAGATATCAATTGGAAGTGAAAATTTTACTATACCACATTAACATCATGTGGTATACCACATTACCTGCACGTTTTTTAAAATCACTTTTTATGGGATTTCAAATATTTTCTCAAATATCTCTTAAATTGTTAGAATAATATTATTTTCAAATTGATACATGGGAAGACAACACATGTAGCATGTTAAGTGTAAATTTTCAATTTAATCGGATAAAAAATAAAAATTTGGCAATCTAAAAACAAATGGGTATACCACATTTGCATCACCTCCTATATATGAAATGAAGGCTTGTATTTTTTTTAATAAAAACTAAGACATTATCTTGGATTTTTTAATAATTTTTATCAAGGGATATCTGAAGTATAACGGTAATTTTTAAAATAATTTTTAGAATTTTTAAGGGTATACTGAGGTATGGGCGTGGATTTTTATACCCTACACAACTATAGCTTTGTGCAGCCACAAGAGTTTATAACGCCGCGAAATATTGGTCCTAGACCCACCTTTAAGTATACCGATCGTCATATCTCGACCAGCTGTGTCGATCTAGAAATGTGTGCCCGTCTGTCCATTATAATATGTAAACACTATACAGGCCACAGTTATGGACCAATCTTCATTTTGCATGTAGGATGGGTTCCGACCAATGAAGACCCCTATTGTTTTTGGTAAAGATAGGTTTATATTTAGGGGATGAAATGGGCCAAAAAAAACTTTATTTTTGCCTGATTTTCTGGTCGCTCCAGAGGCCGCAATTACGGCTCAAACATCGCGAGAAGGGGATCGGGCCAAAGAATAAGCATGCCTGGATTGATAAAGATCGATCAATATTTAGCGGGTCAAACGGACCCTGACTTTTGTGTGAAAAATTACGAAATTTATATTCTACAGCGTATATATTTACCCCTGAATGGCCTAGACCCGAGAGTTTATAGTATATCCAAGAGCACTGGTTGACCTTTAAATTAATACCATTTTATTATCCTGTGTGCTCGGATGTGGGAGTTACACTTTAATATTTACAGGTGCTTACGTATTCATATATTATTTAGTAACCCATTACCACATCAGAACAACGCCTATAATTTTCGGTAATGGGACACAGTGGACCGACAACTTATTTTTTTTTATTTTATTTTATTTTTTTTTTTTTTTGAGTTTTTCAAGTCGACCTGGACTCCACAATTGAAAGCCAAACATCAGAACACAACCTACGGTGAAGGGAATCTTGACAAGTAATTAAAAGGGCTGTTCTGAATATTAGTTATAACTGTTGAACTATAGTCGAAGAGGGTGCAAATATCGCGAAATATTGTCCATGCTCAGAATATAGAACTACAGAAAGTTAAATTCTCTTGGAAGTTGTATAGGGCATCATATGGTCGGCCCCGTCCGATTATACTACTCCGCTCAGTGGTTTTAATAATTTTTTTTTCAAGGACTAATTGAAATGTAAGCTTAGATTTCTTAAAAGACTATCTGAAATATAAACGTGAAACAAATGTTTTCAAGGACCTTCATTTACATAAGCGTATATTTGTTTAAGAATATTTAAAAGACTATAAGCTTGTATTTATTTAAAGACAATTTTCAAGAACCTTCACGCCAAAAGTATATTTTTTTAAGAAATTTTTTCAAGGACTATCTGAAGATTAAAGACTTACCCCAATAATGTTGGATATATTGAAATTTTTTTTTGAAAGGCATGAAGTTTCGTTCAATGACCCTTACTCCAATAAACTTGGATTTAAAAAAAAAAATCTTCAAGGATCCTATGATCCTTAAGCTAAATTTTTCAAATATTTTTTTTTAAGATCCCTATAGATTTTTGACGAATTTTATAGGGCAAAGTTTAATATAAAAAAAAGTTATGAAATGTAATTCTCGCACGTAGTCGGATTACTTGACATATGATAATAATCTATGCGATTTAGGACAAAACTATAAATAAAATAAATAAACAAAATAAATTATTAGATAATTTACCACTTAATAGCCACGCACGCTTTTTTGATTGGTAAAGTAAATATAAAAATAAGGTAAAAAAAAAGAAATCAATTGGAAAATTTTACAGCCAATTGTGGCATTATTGATGATAATAATATGTGATATCATCTCTACACTGAGAGAAAACCTGAACTATTTGAATTTTTTAGCCACCAGCCTATTATCATATCTTATCAACCATAAATAATGAAGTTTTCAAGTGGTTCTTTCCAAAAATTTGGTATAAAACCACCTGCCGTAAATGGAAAAAAATCAGTTGTTTCCCCGTAGTTCGACAACATGAAATTCTTGATTGTTTTTGCCTTGGCTTTGGCCACCGCCTCTGCCTTCGATTTGAGAAGTGAAGATATTCAACCCCGCGACATTTTCGTTGATACCGAGGGCCGTATCACCAATGGTCATGATGCCGCTGTTGGCCAATTTCCCTACCAAGTTGGTCTTTCCTTGAAGGTTAACGCTTTGTCCTCGGCCTGGTGTGGTGGTTCTTTGATTGGCAACCAATGGGTTTTGACTGCTGCTCACTGTACCGATGGGTAAGTAGTGCTGGGCAGAAATTCCAAAACGTGAATATAGTATTAAATTGTGTTTTCTTTTTGGTGTAGTATCGCCTCCATTACCGTGTACTTGGGTGCCACCATCCGTACCTCGGCCGAAATCACCCACACCGTTACCAAGGACAATGTCATCATCCACTCCGACTGGAACAGCAAGACCTTGAAGAACGACATCTCCCTGATCAAGATCCCCTCCGTCACCTACACCAACAAGATCAAGCCCGTTAAATTGCCCGCCATTGCCAGCTCTTACTCCACCTATACCGGTGATCTCGTCATTGCTTCCGGTTGGGGCCGTACCTCTGATTCTGCCACCGCGGTTGCCAAACAATTGCAATACGCCGAAATGAAGGTCATCAGCAACACTGTCTGCAAATCGACCTTCGGTACCACCATTACCGCTTCCAATTTGTGCGTTTCCACTCCCGATGGTGTTTCCACCTGCAACGGTGACTCTGGCGGTCCATTGGTCTTGAAATCTAACAGCGTCCAAATTGGTTTGACTTCCTTCGGAGCTGCTGCCGGTTGTGAAAAGGGTTACCCAGCTGCCTTCACTCGTGTCACCAGCTACTTGGATTGGATCAAGGAACACACTGGTATCTCTTACTAAGAGAAGTACTAGTTAGTTAGTTTCTTTATAAAGAAAAAAATGTAATAATACGAATATTTAAGTTTAATATTTAAACTTAAATAAAATTCCTATTTTTTTCAAATTTTTAGGATTTTTTTTCAATTCTTCCTCAGTTACTGAGTAATTTTTTCTATAGAAAAAAGTCTTCCTCGGTTACTGAACAATTTTTTTCTGTAGAAAAAAGTCTTCTTAAGTTACTGAGCAATTTTTTTTCTATAGAAAAGTCTTCCTCAGTTACTGAGCAATTTTTTTCTATAGAAAAAAAGTCTTCCTCAGTTACTGAGCAATTTTTTTCTATAGAAAAAAGTCTTCTTAAGTTACTGAGCAATTTTTTTCTATAGAAAAAAGTCTTCATGAGTTACTGAGCAATTTTTTTCTATAGAAAAAAGTCTTCCTCAGTTACTGAGCAATTTTTTTCTATAGAAAAAAGTCTTCTTAAGTTACTGAGCAATTTTTTTCTATAGAAAAAAGTCTTCATGAGTTACTGAGCAATTTTTTTCTATAGAAAAAAGTTTTCCTCAGTTACTGAGCAATTTTTTTCTATAGAAAAAAGTCTTCCTCAGTTACTGAGCAATTTTTTTCTATAGAAAAAAGTCTTCCTCAGTTACTGAGCAATTTTTTCTATAGAAACAAGTCTTCCTCAGTTTCTGAGAATTTTTTATATAAGAAACCTTCCTGAGCAGCCGATGATTTTATCTATGGAAAAAAGCTTCCACAGCAGCCGATGATGTTGCAGAGGATTTTCTTTTTCTATAGAAAAGAGTCACCCTCATTTACTGAAGAAAAAGTCTTCTTCAGTAACTGATGTTTTTTTTTAATGTCTTTCTAAATTACATAAGATTTTTCTATACCCTAATCCCAATAGCTGGGAATCATTATCCCCACTGAATAAAATAATTAGTTTACTCTGGACACACACACCTCTGTTAAAATAACAAAAACAAAAACAAAAAAACTTGAGACCGGCCAATCGATAATTACATACAAACGCCAACAGAGCCGCAAAACGAAAGAACCGCGGAAAAAAGTTCATTGACACAATGCTACCCAGTAGTAGTAGTAGTGGTGGTGGTGGTGGATAAACAAATTAAAGCCACTGAACTGCATTCGCGTCTACCCAGCCAACGGAAGGGGCTTTTGACTTCTGATTGAAGGCGTCTGAGTGATGATGGCTTCATTGCATTAATGGTCGGGTTTTTTTTTCTCTTTTTTGGTCAGAAATTTCAAATAAAAAACGAAATAAAAAAACAGCACGCAAACACATTATTAATTGACAGTGTTTTTACATGTTATGAGCTGTCGGTCCCCCCATTGGTCTTGGTGACCATGACGTGTAGGACACATTTTTTGTATATATTTTTTATAATTTTGTAAAAAAAATATGACAAACCCCTCCCCATAAGCCAATGGCAACATGTAAACTGTGCACATTTATGCAACTACAGATGACAAAGGCGCATGAGCGTGAAGATATATTGTTGAAAGTTAAATTGTAATGTTAGTAACAGAGCTCTGTTAAGCCATTAACAGAGCTCTTTTAAAAGGTTAACAGAATTGAAAAATAATCAAATTTAATAGATTTTACCATTATTTTTATTTAAAATTAATAAAAATAAGTAGGATTAGGACAAAATTACCAAATGTGCTACCCCAATTCAATAAAACATAAAAATTACTGCACATGCAGCAACACTGTAGGTATTTGCAATTAGGCCCACTGTCCGAAAATTTCAAAACCTGGGACTAAGCGAATACCCACGATGGAAAGGTCAGTCCATGGGCTTTCAGAATATATATAGTTTATATCCGAAATCAATTTCGGATATAATAAATTTTTCGACTTTTTTTAAAATTGTACAATTTAACCGTAGCTGTGGTAATTGATATGGTCCAACTATTAGGCCCACTGTCCCGAAATTCCAAAACCTGGGACTAAGCGAGTACCCGCGATTGAAAGATCACTCCTTGGGCTTTCAGAAAATATATAGTTTGTATCCGAAATCAATTTCGGATATAATAAATTGTTTGACTTTATTTAAATTGTAAATTTTTTGATATCTGATATGGTCCAACTGTTAGGCCCACTGTCCGAAAATTTCAAAACCTGGGACTAAGCGAATACCCACGATGGAAAGGTCAGTCCATGGGCTTTCAGAATATATATAGTTTATATCCGAAATCAATTTCGGATATAATAAATTTTTCGACTTTTTTTAAAATTGTACAATTTAACCGTAGCTCTGGTAATTGATATGGTCCAACTATTAGGCCCACTGTCCCGAAATTCCAAAACCTGGGACTAAGCGAGTACCCGCGATTGAAAGATCACTCCTTGGGCTTTCAGAAAATATATAGTTTGTATCCGAAATCAATTTCGGATATAATAAATTGTTTGACTTTATTTAAATTGTAATTTTTCTGGTAATTGATATGGTCCAAGTGTTAGGCCCACTGTCCGAAAATTTCAAAACCTGGGACTAAGCGAATACCCACGATGGAAAGGTCAGTCCATGTACTTTCAGAATATATATAGTTTATATCCGAAATCAATTTCGGATATAATAAATTTTTCGACTTTTTTTAAAATTGTACAATTTAACCGAAGGTCTGGTATTTGATATGGTCCAACTATTAGGCCCACTGTCCCGAAATTCCAAAACCTGGGACTAAGCGAGTACCCGCGATTGAAAGATCACTCCTTGGGCTTTCAGAAAATATATAGTTTGTATCCGAAATCAATTTCGGATATAATAAATTGTTTGACTTTATTTAAATTGTAAATTTTTTGATATCTGATATGGTCCAACTGTTAGGCCCACTGTCCGAAAATTTCAAAACCTGGGACTAAGCGAATACCCACGATGGAAAGGTCAGTCCATGGGCTTTCAGAATATATATAGTTTATATCCGAAATCAATTTCGGATATAATAAATTTTTCGACTTTTTTTAAAATTGTACAATTTAACCGTAGCTCTGGTAATTGATATGGTCCAACTATTAGGCCCACTGTCCCGAAATTCCAAAACCTGGGACTAAGCGAGTACCCGCGATTGAAAGATCACTCCTTGGGCTTTCAGAAAATATATAGTTTGTATCCGAAATCAATTTCGGATATAATAAATTGTTTGACTTTATTTAAATTGTAAATTTTTTGATATCTGATATGGTCCAACTGTTAGGCCCACTGTCCGAAAATTTCAAAACCTGGGACTAAGCGAATACCCACGATGGAAAGGTCAGTCCATGGGCTTTCAGAATATATATAGTTTATATCCGAAATCAATTTCGGATATAATAAATTTTTCGACTTTTTTTAAAATTGTACAATTTAACCGTAGGTCTGGTAATTGATATGGTCCAACTATTAGGCCCACTGTCCCGAAATTCCAAAACCTGGGACTAAGCGAGTACCCGCGATTGAAAGATCACTCCTTGGGCTTTCAGAAAATATATAGTTTGTATCCGAAATCAATTTCGGATATAATAAATTGTTTGACTTTATTTAAATTGTAAATTTTTTGATATCTGATATGGTCCAACTGTTAGGCCCACTGTCCGAAAATTTCAAAACCTGGGACTAAGCGAATACCCACGATGGAAAGGTCAGTCCATGGGCTTTCAGAATATATATAGTTTATATCCGAAATCAATTTCGGATATAATAAATTTTTCGACTTTTTTTAAAATTGTACAATTTAACCGTAGGTCTGGTAATTGATATGGTCCAACTATTAGGCCCACTGTCCCGAAATTCCAAAACCTGGGACTAAGCGAGTACCCGCGATTGAAAGATCACTCCTTGGGCTTTCAGAAAATATATAGTTTGTATCCGAAATCAATTTCGGATATAATAAATTGTTTGACTTTATTTAAATTGTAAATTTTTTGATATCTGATATGGTCCAACTGTTAGGCCCACTGTCCGAAAATTTCAAAACCTGGGACTAAGCGAATACCCACGATGGAAAGGTCAGTCCATGGGCTTTCAGAATATATATAGTTTATATCCGAAATCAATTTCGGATATAATAAATTTTTCGACTTTTTTTAAAATTGTACAATTTAACCGTAGCTCTGGTAATTGATATGGTCCAACTATTAGGCCCACTGTCCCGAAATTCCAAAACTGAAAGATCACTCCTTGGGCTTTCAGAAAATATATAGTTTGTATCCGAAATCAATTTCGGATATAATAAATTGATTGACTTTATTTAAATTGTAAATTTTTTGATATTTGATATGGTCCAACTGTTAGGCCCACTGTCCGAAAATTTCAAAACCTGGGACTAAGCGAATACCCACGATGGAAAGGTCAGTCCATGGGCTTTCAGAATATATATAGTTTATATCCGAAATCAATTTCGGATATTGAAAATTTTTCCAATTTTTTTTCTGAATATGTATAATTTATATCCGAAATCAGTTTCGTATATTTTTTTTATTTTATTTATATTGTAAAATTTCTGTAAAACAGGTAAAAATTGTATCATTTTATCTTCAGAAGTCATTCAAATCCACAGAACGTTTTTGGTACCTGTTTTTTTGGTGTACTATTGACACATTATGAGTTTTACAATACTTTGCAATAAAATGTCAAAGAATTTTTCGAATGAAGATATTTTTATGACTTTTTCTCTTTGCATTCATAAATCGCAATAAATGTGTCTAAAATTTTGTAAAGAAATACCCACACCAATAAAAATTAGCCTTCCTTTTAAAGCCCTTTTTATAAAAAAAAAATAAAAAAATTAGGTAAAAATCGCCAACCGGGTTTGAACCGCGTGCCCCATGTTTCATAAAGTGAGTGCGCAACCGCATGAACTACAGTTGTAATCTGTGAGATGACAGCGATTGTATGTACTTTATGCTAGTTCAGTTTCATTGCTTAGAGACTTCTATATTCGCGCTATTTTATATTTTTTTGAAATGCAATTTTTCCAATGAAAATGCGTATACCCAAATAAACATATTAACAGAAATTTGTTAGGAA